GGACAAGTGTTCTGTCACAGACTCACTAATATAACGACACATATCTATGTCCAAATACCTGTTACTGTTATTTGCGACCCATTCACAATACTTCCTTGCGTCGTTCTGATGTTCTAGGTGTACAAACTTGTTAATCCGAGCGAAGTAACCTCTATCAAGATCGTAAACGTGAAAAGACAATCTCTCCAGTTGGGCTTTATTTCTCGGACCTCGACCCACACTTATGAGCAGCGGCGCCGGAGTGTTGAACTCCATATGTATTGGAGGGAAGAACTGAATACCGCTTGGATACCTGAAGCCAACATCGCCCATCTTCTCACATTGATTTCCGTAGGCAGAATCATGGCAGAGACAAACACACTCACCGTAGCCATCGTAAGCCTTATCATCTTTGCTGAAGCAGTCTGAATGACATTGTACTGGAACGTATTCGCAAGGGGTTTTGTTTTTGAAAACGTCCTCGTCTATAAGACTGTATCTCTTAAAGATCCTATCGTCTATTAGTTGACATTTCCCTTCAGGTTTATCATAATCTCCACTACAGAAGCCACACTTGATAAAATCATCGGGCTTGTTACAATCTAAATCGGTTTTGCACTTTGTAGTATTGGTTGACAAATTAACAAAAACAGGATGGATGAGGAGAAGTAACAAGAAGATAGATCTGGCCACGTTGCAATACATCAGTGAATTAGTTTAAACGACATTTAATTGAGGGTAACTAATTGAAATAACACTGTTTGACTTTGTTTTTATTGAAACAAAACATAAATGTTGATGTTTTACCTCAGCTGTTACTAACCTTTATTTAAAAAATTACATTGTCTCATTATATGCCCCCTTGATCACCCCTCACACATTATAGGTTACTTTACTAAAACTATACTACATACATTATCGGATCGCAACATTACGATTTTATAACTCTTGATTTGACGAATTTAAAAGAATTGCTGGCGAGGATCATAAGTTATCTAGAATACCTGTTGCTTAAATTCGATCAATTGCTAAGTATTACAAGCGTTATTTTAAACCGAATAGTAGTCATAATTTCTTATAGCTTCGACTCAAATATTATGATAATACTCAAGATGTAAATAACAGATCGTTATAATCAACATTTTTTGTAAATATCTTATAACTTTTTAAAAGCTGATCTAGGTTTTTTAGTGTTTTCTACAAATAGCCTTCGTCATAGACGCATTTGGTTGCCCACAATAAGGATTATAATCATAAAATATCCCCGCTGCAGCAAACCTGCAGACTAAGCGAATTTTAACATGTCTGATTATATTTTTCCTAAATCTATATATATATATATATATATATATATATATATATATATATATATATATATATATAATCCAATGTATGTATGTTTGTTTGTTTGTCTGTTTGTCCTTTATGGACTCCGAAACCGCTCGACAGATTGTAATGAAACTTTCAGGCATTATCAGGCACTATTCAAGGATGGTTTGTGTGAAGTTTGTGCAGATCCGTCAAAAAGGCTCCGCCCCAGTGGCTCTGGAGTTTCCCATGTTAACCTTATGAGTTTCATTACAATTTGTCGAGTGGTTTCAGAGTCCATAAAGGACAAACAAACAAACATACATACATTGGATTTTATATATAAAGATGTAAGATTCTTAACAGCTGGTTCAACTGAACAATTTGAATCTGTGGTGTTCAATCTATATATTTAATACACAGTTGTAACACTGTTTTCTCAGTAATTACTGGACCGATCCACAAGATCTATGTGTCAAATTAAAGGGAATAATGCATAGATTTGCCGAACTTCATAAGAATTAACGTTCTTTCTAAGGGTTAAGACATACAGCCCTTCAAAGGTTGAGTCAATACAATTCTTATTGAAGAATATAATACACAGTTTATAAATTATTCGTCAGCTGTTTAATTTTTGTCAGACATTTGTTATTATTTTTATAACCTCACTTTCAGTATGTAATTATTAATCTTGGAGTTTCTATTTATTAACACACAATTTTGATAAAGGAATTTTTGTACATTATTTGTTTGTTTTGGTGTAAATTTTGTATTTTTGAAATGTTTTAGTTTTCCTGCGAAGTGATCTGAAGGAAAGTGGTAATTGAGTTTAAATTTGAGTATGGAATGTGAAATAATACCCATAGTAGGGGACAGAAACTTATTGTTTTGATCAATGTGATTTATTCTTCTATAGCCATTAGAACAATCATGGAGAAATCCACTTGCAAGTTGTACAGATAATTGCTAATGAGTGGGAAACATTTTATCTTAGTGATTAATCTTACTCAAGATCAATGTTTGACGTTCAGCAGTACCAAATTTTACCTTCTCGAGATGGCGAGTACGCTGGGATACGTGGAACTACAATTTATCAGTGAACTGTACCCTATTTTTCATTCGAGTACACAGGGAAGTTGCTTGTGAAACTGTGACTTACGATTATGGTTCTGGCGAAGAAGTATGTGACTTGATGTTTAATGGCAATGTTGACTCGGGTCATTATAGCGTTATAATACTTTATCATTAACCCCAAGGTGTGAAGAGTACAAAAAGAATAAGAAAAGGTAATCATTAACCGGGCGTAAGAGACATACAGAACGAAAAAAACACGTAGAGAACCATCGAACTAAAAAGGTAAAGAGCAGTGATGGTGTTAAATGTGCTCTGGAAGTCCCTAAAAATACACCAACCAATTGGGGTCGTTAAATTGGATTTTTCACTACTGCAAATCTATGAATTTCCAGTCAGAACAGACTAAAAAGGACACAAATATATTCTCCTTTGTTGTCACAAGGGGAAGGTAAAATGAGCTCCCTATCAAAATTTTGAGTTTATGGAAAATCTTATCAACAGGGCTACAGCGACTATAAAAAAGTATTAAGGGTCAAAAGAAACAAAAAGCTAATAATATCATACAAATCTGCATTTGAAATGGCGAGTTCTAAGTCTCATTTGAATCAACATCTTTCTGGTAGTGTTAGTCTATAAATCGGATTGGATCGTTAATACCCTCTAACATTGAACCAAAGTATGCCCAACTTTATATATAAGACGTAAACACAGCTGTTACTCACAGAATGGGTCAAAGATTAGTGAAATGCGACCAACTGCTGATGCGTGATTTACATGTAAGTGACTATCTTTATTCCTTAACAACAAATGTAATGAAAAAAAAACAACGAATACAGGAATATAATTGAACAAATTATCTCCTTAGCATAAGTAGCTGCTTATTAGGTTATCAGCATTGCGCCGTTCGTATACTATTTACTTTTCAAACGAAACTCGAATTAATATAAAACATTCATTTGGTTAAATTAATATATCGGTTTGATTAACATAAAATAGTTTACACAGGCAAACTACCTGTTCTATTTCATATAAAAAATTAAGCAGCCCCTAAATAAAATACAAAGATAAACAGTATTTGTTAATCATTATGTGTTTTATTGCTGACAATATTCCCGTGGCGGAGCACGGGCGGTTAACTAGTAGCATTAAAAAGATAATAAGTTTACCAACAGGGTGCAGTACGATTATTTTTTTTTTTTATTAATGACAACAGCTAATTTGCAACCAAAAGGTTGTGACGTAATTTTCCTGGCGGATGACAAGTGGGAAATTACGCCACCGGTAACAAAACGAGGATCCCAGGATTCGCCCTAGTCTGGTCGCGGGGAGTTTCCCAGGAGTCGATAGTGATTCGGATAGCCTAAGTTTGATAGCCCTGGTTGTCAGAGCTCGAGACGAACGTTGCGGGTTACTAAACACCCTACTCGAAATCACCACTCTAGCCTGGGGCTTGAGGGGAAATAAATAATTTTGACTTGACTCTGTGGGCAAATATCTAAATGACACACTACTAGCTAACTTAACAAATCAACAAGTAAGCTAAGTAGGCACTCCGCTTACCTACGGAGTTACGTCGTCAACCTGAAACAAACAAGGTTAGTACAAGATAGGCCTAACCTAGCCTAACTCCCACAGAGTCTGAATTTACTAGACAAGAAAACGAGTTGGCTTAAGTTGTCCAAGTGAGACACGAAACGAGAGAAAAACTGAAACTAAAAATAAAACTGCTTCAAGAGCTGATACGAAAAAAGAAAAACTAAAACTTCAACTTCCCCACGTGTTCAACTTAAGCAAACTTCTGCAATAATTATCAAGCAGAAACCTGTCTGCTGGGGCCAACTTCGGGGCGTTCGGGAACTTTATAAAGGGGTTTACGAAATTAAAAAGAAAGTCCCAGATATGGATTACGAAACGTTAATCGAAATGATCTGTCACCAACTCCGATACTTTAATTAAATGAGTTGGTTAAAGCGTATGACGAGGTCTGCGAATCAGCCCTAGCCTAGGAACTTCGACAAAGTTCTGCCGAAACACAAGTGACAAAAGAAAAACCTAAGTAGTCTTAGCTTTACACAACTTACCAAACGAAGTAATACTACTGTAAAACACTTTTAGCACACTCGATGCACCACGAACTTAATGTAGGCGAACTTTTAAGCTACGAATGAAAAAGAACAAAACTCTTCAAATCGAAGACGAAAAGACGTATTAGCGAATCCTTCAAAAGCCGGGAATACGAATGACCAAAACTTCACAAAACTTCTTCTTACTTCACCTTCGTCTCAGAATCGAGACGAAAGTTAAAACGATTCCTGATTGGTCAACGAGTTACCGAAACAAACAAAAAACTGGCAGCGAAGGCAGGCGCATGGCAGCTTTAACAGGCTTACAGCCGCGTACCGCTCAAAGGTGACCTCGCTGCTCATCTTCTCTCCCGTAGCCCGGCCTCAGATGCAGTCGAACAGCCAAACAACCAAACTGACACCAACGTCGTCTGCGGTCTTGGAATTGGAGGTTAGGTACGTCAGTTTAGTGTCGCGACTAGGCTTACTCAACAGCTTATGTTTAGCTGTTTAATGTTCGTGGTCTAGATCGTTATATTTTTACCCCCCTACCCATTTGACTCGTTACACCCCCTCCACACTTCGGAACCAAAAAAAAGAAAACCGAGAAAAGAAAAAAAAACTGTTGAACTTTCCTGTAGATGGCACCACAGTAGGATCGTGGTTAAGGATGTTGACGACGAAAAGCGGACGAACCTAGAAATGAGGTAGACAGTCTGAGGCCTAATCGCCTCAGAGGTCTAGACGGAAATGACTCGGAGCGAAGAAAACCGAAGATGGTGGGGTTGACGAAGGTAGGGTAGTACGGATTTATCACCCCTGGCAGGGGTTATTCTGCGGGTTCTATTAGCACCACCTCCCAGGTGGTTATTAGGAGTCGACGGCCCCTACAACTGCCCAGGGCGGTTTAGCGGGGTCGATTGCCTCCTTGCTGCTGGAAGCGCCGCCTCAGCTCCGGCAGTCGGCCTCGGACGACTCGCAGCACCTGGCTCGGTCGCAGCCGCACGTATCGGTCGCCTCCCAGCATAATTCTCCAGCGTTTGTTGCGCCGCTGCTCCGGTGTGAGCTGGTTGTAGGCGGCTACCAGCCGTAGTAGGACTGCCCGGGACAGCGGAAGGGCGTTCCCGGTGACCGTCTCTTCGGGCTCTGTCCGGCGAACAGGGGCTCGGGCCAGGCCACTCGGTCGAGCTGGTTCCCAGATGATGGGGGACGGTCTGCGGCGCGCTGGGCCCGCTCCGGCTCCAGCTGGTGCTTCTCCCAGACGGGGGCGGCGAGGAGGGGAGTCGCGACGGCGACGCTCGGGCAGGCGACGAGTCGGCAAGACAAGACTTGGGCGAGGCAGTGCGGCGGGGCCAGGATGGCGACTGGGTGGCGAGGCGGGACGGCAGCTATGACGGGATGAAGAGACGGGACGGCAGCTATGACGGGATGAAGAGACGGGACGGCAGCGACGATGGGGCGGAGAGGCAGGACGGCGAGGATGACGGGGCGGGGAGGCAGGGTGGTGATGACGACGAGACGGAGAGGTGGGGCGGCGATGATGACGAGATGGAGAGGCGGGGCGACGAGGAGGACGAGATGGAGAGGCGGGGCGACGATGAGGACGAGGTGGAGAGGCGGGGCGACGAGGAGGACGAGATGGAGAGGTGGGGCGACGATGAGGACGAGGTGGAGAGGCGGGGCGATGATGATGACGAGATGGAGAGGCGGGGCGACGAGGAGGACGAGATGGAGAGGCGGGGCGACGATGAGGACGAGGTGGAGAGGCGGGGCGACGAGGAGGACGAGATGGAGAGGTGGGGCGACGATGAGGACGAGGTGGAGAGGCGGGGCGATGATGATGACGAGATGGAGAGGCGGGGCGACGAGGAGGACGAGATGGAGAGGCGGGGTGATGATGAGAACGGGGCGGAGAAATCTGAATCCGCCGCCGAGGTGACGAAGCGAACCGGACTCGGAGCGTAGGCGACGCAGCCGGCGGAGAGACGACGGCCGGCTGGGGATCCACCGTCGGCGAGGTCGGTCGGTCGGGCTGAGGAGACGGCTCCGTGGCCCGTGGCGATGATCGGGCCGGGACCTCCCCCTCCTCGAGGTCTGAGCATTCCAGGTCGAGGACGTCCCCGGGGTCCACCCGGAAAGGCCAGGACCAGTTGGCCGCCAGGAAGTCCCCGATCTCCTGGTCCAGCACCATGTCCTCGGGGTCGAGGATGTCTCGGCTCGGCGTAGACGGGCGGGGATCGGATGCCATCGTACCTACCCAACAAAACCAGAACTAAGCGGGACCATGCAAGCTAGGTACTACAAGCTAGGTACAGGTGCTACAAGCTAGGTACAGGCGCTACAAGCTAGGTACAAGCACTACAAAGCTAGAAGGGAAATCAGTTAAGGGATAAGGTAGGCTATATTAGTATATAAGAGTAAAATAAAGCGTCACTACAGAGTTAGTTAGTAGCCACAACTAAGCTCCACCACCTTACCACTAAACGCGCGCACAGAAAGGTTTTAGGTCTTTGGCATGGACCACATGCACCGCCGCGGAGTCCTCATCACGCACCTCGTAAAGGTTAGTTCCCCGACAGCCAACAACTGTGCAGGGGCCGCGATATTTCGGCGCTAACTTCCCGACAATCGCGTCGGCAGCTGAAGACAATACGTGAAGTCGTCGCATCACTCGCGCGCCAACTTCGTGCGTCACCTCCCTACGACGGAGGTTATAATAGGTTGATTGCCTTTCGTAGGCGGCCTTGAGGTTCTTGCGTGTCTGCGCGATCAGACGCTGAAACTCATCCAGTCGTTTGCGATGGGTCTCGCTTAACGAGGGACTTTGGGGAGTTTCGGACACCTCAAACGAAGGGCCACGGACGGCACAGGGAGGTTTCAGTTCGCGACCAAAACACAGCATCGCAGGAGTGAATCCAGTAGAGTCGTGGACAGCTGTGTTCAGGGCGTACTGAAACTCCACCAGGTGGTTGTCCCAAGACCTATGGTTGCCTTTTACGAACTGTGCAATCATGGTCTTCACCACCCGGTTTTGCCTCTCGACTGGGTTCGACTGCGGGCTGTAGGGGGCCGTCGTCTGCAGCGTGATGCCCCACTCCGCCGCCAACTCTCGAACCAGTTTACCGACAAACTGCGTGCCGTTGTCCGTAATCAACACATCCGGAGCTCCATGTCGAAGTAGGATAGCCTTCAGCTTTGTCACCACATTCTTTGCGGTTGCAGACGCAATGGAGGCGAGTTCCGTCCATTTGCTGAAGGTATCCTGCACCACGAGCAGAAATCGCTGACCCCGTTGTGATCTAGGCAATGGGCCTACCAGGTCAGCAGACACTGCGTACCACGGTCCTTGGGGTTGTCGGAAGTACATTTTCCCAGCTGGTTTCGTTTGGGGTACTTTATAGGCCTGGCATTGGGCGCAAGACCGTACATAGGCCTTCACCTCACGACGCCAGTTAGGCCAAAAGTACTCCCCACCAACTCGGGCTAACGTTTTCTTCACCCCAAGATGTCCTGCCGTAGCCGTGTCGTGGTTTTCGTGCAGCACCACGGATACTTGGTCGCTTGGCACACACACCCTCCATGTCGTAGGTTGATCCTTCCTCGAGACTGCACGGTACAGCTTACCGTCGCGAAGCTGGTATCTCGAGTATCGCCCAGGGTGTTTGCTGACCAGATTGCAAAGGCGGTCGTACCAAGCACTGTGGCTGCCCGGCGGGTTACCATCGTTGTCCACGTCGGAAGATGGGTCGTCAGTCTCCTGCTGCGTCGGACCAGGAGCTTCGTGATCGATAACGTCACCCGCCGGATCATCGCCGAGTGAAGGTTCGTCACCTTCAGCATCGGTTAGGCGTCGTAACCGCAACTGTTCCCTAGCACCGCGTCTGGTTAAAACTCCGACCTCAAACGTAGGTTGATCGGGTTCACCAGACGAGCTGGGCACTTCAGGGACCGGCTGACGAGACAGGGCGTCGGCCACTCTGTTCGCTGTCCCCTTGCGGTAACTTATCTCGAAGTCGAATTGCTGCAACTCCATAACCCACCGAGCCAGGCGCCCACTAGGCTCACTGAGCTTAAGCAGCCATTTTAGGGCGACATGGTCGGTTATCGCAATGAAGTGGTAGCCTTCGAGATAAGCCTTGAATTTCCGAACAGCCCACACTAGAGCGAGACACTCCTTCTCGGTAGTTGTGTAGTTCTGTTCGGCCTCAGAGAGTAGCCTACTGGCATACGCAACGACCACTTCTCGGTCGTTTACACTCTGAGTTAACGCTGCTCCCAGGCCATAATTCGAGGCGTCGACCTGGAGCACGAAGGGTTGGCTGAAGTCGGGACAGGCGAGAATCGGGGCCGTCACCAAGGCGTGCTTCAGAGCTTCGAATGCCTTAGTTTGTTCGGGTCCCCAGAGCCACTTGGCGTTCTTCTTCAGCAAACCTCGAAGTGGTATGGTTACCGAAGCGAACTTCTCGACGAATCGCCGATACCACGACGCAAGGCCTAGGAAACTGCGAAGTCCCTTGACGTTCGTGGGTGCGGGGAAATCCTGAATGGCGCGGACCTTCTCAGGATCCGTGGCGATTCCATCTTGGCTCACGATGTGTCCCAGATACTTCAGCTCCCTACGGGCGAAGTGACACTTCTCGGGGTTTAAACGAAGGCCCGCCTCGCGTAGGCGGCGAAATACAACCCCCAGAAGTTCTAGATGCTCCTCGAAAGACGTCGACACCACCACAAGGTCATCAAGGTACGCGAAGACCTTCGGCTCCAGCTCAGGCCCGATGACTCTATCCAGAAGGCGCTGGAAGGTGGCACCGGCCGAGTGTAGGCCAAACGGCATGACCTTGAACTGAAAAAGGCCTAGGCCTGGCACAGTGAAGGCGGTCACAGGGCGACTGTCGACGGCCAATGGCACTTGCCAGTAGCCTTGCTTCAGGTCCAAGGTACTGATAAACTTGGCCTGCCTGAGCTTCTCAAGGATGGCGTTAATCCTAGGCAGAGGATAGGCGTCCTTGATCGAGGAGTCGTTCACCCTGCGCATGTCGATGCAAAAGCGGTATTTCCCAGTCGACTTCCGGATCAACACGATCGGAGAGCTCCATGGACTCTCAGATGGTTCGATTACGTCATCCTTCAACATGGCAGCTACTTCATCGTTGATGACCGCTTGCATTGCAGGGTTACGAGGGTAGTGGCGCTGTTTGATCGGGACTGCGTTTGGTTTGAGCCGGATGACATGCTCAGTCAACGCCGTGGGTCCCGCAACAGCATCGAAGAGAGGAAGTTCTTTCTCGAGAAAAGTCTTGAGATGCTGTTCTTCCTTTGACGTCAGCGGTTCCAATGTGCCCGTCGCACAAGGGAGAGTCGTGGTCGTGTCGAATGTGCCATCGTTGTTGACGTTTATACGTATGAGGTTAAGGTCTCGAATACACCTCATACCTAATACGACGTCCGTGGTGAGCCCAGGCACGAAATAGGCTCCGAGTATGAGGTTTTCACCTAAGATCTGGGCCGGGATGTGGTACTTCGTCTCAATCCGACAACGTGTACCATCAGCCATCCTCAGGTCCGCTGAAGAAATCTCAGGTTTCACCCCACACTCGTCGAAGTGACGAACAACCTCATCCCCGACGAGGTTTACAACTGCTCCGGTATCCAACAGAGCGTGAAATCCCTTTCCAAGGAGCGTGACGTTGACAAAAGGTCGGATGTCGGTCGACTCAGACGATTTTCCAGCCGACACGTACGAGGTGCTCACGTAATTGAGCTCGGTAGAGGTCGTAGGTGGCTGCGCTGCGGGCTCAAGTGACCTCACGATTCCTGAGCCCGATTCGGTAAAGGCCCTTATGTACTGGAGCCATGAGCTCCATTCGTCGGAGGTAGTGCGGCCACGGGACGTGGGCTCAGGCGACCTCCGGCGGCCTGAGTCCGTCTGGCGTTTCCCGCGCGACAACCGCAGCTTGTAGTGGCCACTCCGACTTGCTTGCAGTAGTAACACCGCAACACCTTCGGCTGAGTGCAATCTCGGAAGACATGTCCGCGTGCATCACAGTTCCAGCAGACCGGAGGGTGGCGGTTACTCGATGGTCGGGATGGATTCGTAGACGGTAGGCCCCGGTTTCTATTATTAGGAACGGTGGCTGTCGTATGCTTTGGCTGGTTACCCCCACTCCTTGCAGGGTAATCACCAGTGCGGCCGGTCTTGGGCGAGGTAGGTTGCGGTTTACGGTCGGGCTCAGAATAGTCCATCACCGCAACATCGACGAAACGGTCCATTCGACGCCTGGGCGTGTAGGCCGTCTCAGGCACCAATGCTTGAGCAACCGGAGGGGGAGGGCGGAACAGCTTACGCTCCCGTAGCAGCTCCTCGTATTCGTCGGCTCGCTCGATGAGGTCGGGTAGCGTGACAAAGTCAACAACCATGCCAACAAGTCCCTGTTCGGGCGCCATTTATGTGACGTAATTTTCCTGGCGGATGACAAGTGGGAAATTACGCCATTGGTAACAAAACGAGGATCCCAGGATTCGCCCTAGTCTGGTCGCGGGGAGTTTCCCAGGAGTCGATAGTGATTCGGATAGCCTAAGTTTGATAGCCCTGGTTGTCAGAGCAATCACAAAATCTTTAAATGCCTCTGTTTCACCCTGAGTGCGCTTCCGTATCTCGTCATCCAAGTGGCGATGATAGCCAGCCGGGAAGAACTGGACCTCGAATGCCCGCCTAAAGTCGTGGAAGGAACGCCACATCATTTTGTTGTTCCGGTACCAGAGGAGAGCTTGGCCATGTAGAAGTGAAGGCAAAGCCTTCAAAACGTCTTCCGGCGACAGAGAGTAGGCCTCGCGCAGCTCCTCTAGACGCTCCAGGAACGAAACCGCATCTCGTCTGCCGTCGAAGCGCAAGTTCCACTTCCGGACCTTGTCACAGAGGGCGGACGACGTTTTAGCAACGTCATCAGGCCAGTCATCACTCCGTAGGACATACGAAGACCGAACACCTCCATCTCCATCCCTTGGCCGAGACGGGACTGTGTATCGGGAGGTTAGCGGGTCGATCCCGTGGACTGGAAGCTCGGCGTAGTCCTTCTCACGTCGTGAGCCCCGCTGTTCGAGGTTCAACACCTCGGCTAACGTGTGCTCTAGGCTGCGCATGTCAGCATTGGGCGATAGGCCGAGCATCTGCCGCATGCGGTCCAAAGTGTGACGTACCGGATCGGCATCAGAATTTTCCGGGAGCGAAGACCTCGGAGCGAAGTCGAAGGCATGTCGAGCGTCAGTCAAGTTCTCTAGTCCTGCGAGTGAGGGTTCATGTGATGCCGAGGTGACCGCAGCAGGTGGGCTCTGACGTTGGAACGTAGCCCTCGGTAGGCCTACTAGGCCATAGGTACCAGGTGGTCTCCAAGCAGTAGGTTGATGCGTTGACCCCGTTCGGCAGTCGAAAGGCGAAAGGCGTGGAGTAGGCTCATGCAGCGAACTCCGGGCCTGGTTATCTACCACCTGGCCAGTCGTGAACACCTCCTCCTGGGAGGTTGGAGAAGACGATGTACCAGCGTTGTCTCGCCAGTACGTGCAGAGACGTTTGCGCAGTTCCGCCACTGTACCATGGGACGGCAAATGGTGTCGCGCCGTCTCCACCATCAACTGTTGCTTGGACAGCTCGTGTATCCAGCCAACACGAGGATCTTCCGTGGGTTGGAGCGGAGCGGTATAGCCGGTTGAGGTCACCGGTCGTGTGTACACCGTTGACGTGGTAGTAACCGTCGA